AGCAGCGTTGTTGAGCGTGTATTTTCCGTTGTACTGCGTGAACGTGAATCCCGTTTCTGAGTCATGATAGACAGAGGTGTCTGCGTTGGGAGCCGCCGAGGTCGGGGACGCAGCAAAACCAGACAGCACCGCACCCCAAGGCACGAGCTGAGCTACTCTCATTCTAGACGGTGTTTTGTTGCGCGAGTCTAATATAAGAGGCGGGTGTTGTGAATTTGATCTGTATCCAGGGGAGGGGGAAGAAACGCAAGGCGTGAGTTTGGCGAACAACTAAGGAGCAAAACAAGGAACTTCCCAGCTCTTTATTTTAATTCTATAAATGCACCTCAACCCGTTATTTGGCGATATCTTCAGCCACGCAGCCTGTGATTCTTTGATAAGAGAAGATGGCTAGCTGGTTGAAACTTGGGCATTTGCAGTATACCTCATTCTGATCGATCGGCTGGGTTCCGGATGAAGAGGTGCCTTGGCAAGGAAGCACAAAAGAAATAGACGCTTTGTGATTCGACCGATTAGAGCTGGTAACAGACTGAGTAAACACAAAAAGGGCAAAAAAACGTGCTCGATCGTGAGTGATGTGAAGGAAACAAAAAAGAGCCCGCGTGACGACCGCACGAGAAGAGGGCAGGTTTATTAAACGAGGACACTGTCGGGCATATCGCTCCCCGTTTCCGTACTTGCGGATCAGGATATATTATGTCGCGATCTCGAATAGTGACGAAATATTGTCCTCCCGGCGCGCGTGTGTGTGGAAAGAAACCGAGTTTCCGAACTATCAAAGTCGTTGAAGGGCAGAGTTGGGAACGGGAATCAGGGCTCTCACTGGAGTAGTAACATGATACCAGTACTTATGTTAGGGCGAAATAAAGGAGTAACGAGAGGCCAGAATGAACAGGAAGAAAAGGAACACTGGAGTGACGAGGAAAATTAAGTCGAGGAAATAAAAGGACAGGTGGTTGAGTCTTTCGCAAACATCTGAAAGACGGCAACCTGGCGGGATTATGGTCTTCAAGAGATGGCTCGAAGCGGGCATGCCCATCCATCGACCTTGTTTGGTATATTTTCCATCGGAGACAAGAAGGCAAAAGGGAGCATTTGCGTCTGTGGATAGAAGCCAAGGCACAATAAGTCCGGAAGGGATCAAATATACTGATACGGCAGAAAAACCAGACTTCCAGTGCCCTTGGTAGTTGTGTACGACAATCCACTGCGCGTTTGTCCGGTCGAGAGGCAATATATCGCGGAGGTCAAATACTGTATGCTGGTGCTGCCTGACATCATTTGTTTCTAGTGCGGTCTTGTGTATGTTGGTTAATGCCCAGGACCATATTTTGAACGCTGTGCAAAGAATTGCCTCGCCGCTTGGATGCATGGTCGTTAAGAGTTGAGTGAGCATGTCAGGTACTTCCCTCGATCTTGCGTTGGCCTGGTAGACATTTGGGCGTGCTCATTTGCCGTCGTCGACACTTGAAAGTGACAGATCTCACATGATACCAGGGAGTCTCTCGGTCGCCGGGAAGGGCATTGCGTGGGAAATGTGCGCAACGTTGGATTCGAGCTGGTTCAAGTTCCGTGGGGAAACGTTAGATTTATCCGCCCAGATTGCGTTTTCTTGTCCAGGGTGGAGGCTCGGTAAAGGCCATAGACAAGTAGCCGCTTGGATTCTTGCCATTAACTCTGCAATTATGGACATGCTTACTGTGTAAGAAACCTAACCCCTGGGTTCGGAGCGAAAAGGCGATATTCGCAAGGCCTTTCAATCCTTGTAGAAATGGACGTGGGCGTGTCGATGATGGGTCGGGGGTTTATCTGATCACAGCGGCGGCTGCTGTTCCGCCTCCATGCCGAATTGCCGAACGTTGGTCAAGTGGCTTTCGCGAGTGACGAGACAAAACGATATTTAACAGATGCGTTAGGATGTAGAATGATGGCATGTTTAAAGGGGAAAGCTTGACAGTGTGGCTTTCAGATAATACGTGGAAGTCGAAGGGACGAGAGACGAAGAAGGAAAGAGCAATGAAAACATAATTGGCATTGCAATTGCAAAATTAGGAAAGAGCGAATGAAAGAGGGAGAGACTTGGATAAATAATGAATTGGGCAGGCGCGACCCAAAACGCCGTCGATGCACATATAAGAGATGAACAAAAAAAAAAAAACAAAGAAAAACATCCAGTACCTAAAGCGTCTAACTGTTATCCAAATCATCCAATTATTTACTGTGACAACACAAGCCATCTGAGCCTGACACTCCCTTGCCTCCATCCGCATCTCCCCTTGTCTACTCGTCCTGGGAGACGACCGCATGCTGCTGCTGCAGCCACCGCCGCAAGTAGTAGTAGCCGGCGCCCAGCAGCCACAGCACAAGCAACACGAGCGCCTGTACCGGCGCAAAGGCCGCGCCGCGCGCGACGACGAAGCCGCTGACGAGCAAAAAGGCAATGGGAGCCAGAATTAGAGGCTTGTAGGGGCGGGGCAGGTCGGGCTCACGGACGCGCAGGACAATGGCGCCGAGGACGGTCAAGAAGAAGAAGGTAAACTCGCCGAGGCCGTTGAAGGTGAGCAGAGCACGGAAGTTGCCCAGCAGTATGTAAATGGAGCCGATGGTGGCGGCCAGGACGAGGGCGTTGATGGGGGCGTCTCCGGCGGCGCTGTCCTTGGCGGGCGCACGCCCGAGCCGTCCCAGGACGGCAAAGGGGCGCGGGATCCAATTCTTGTTGGACGCGGCGACGGCCATGCGCCCGGCGACAAACGAGTTGCCCAGCAGCGAGCCGGCCACCACAAGGCACACAAGGACGGCAGCGGCAAACCCAGCGGCGGGGCCAAGCAGGCGGGCAAACGCCGTCACGGCGATGCTGTCCGTGGTGGACACGACGTTCCAGGGCAGGAGAACATAGTAGGCGGCATTGGCTGCGAGGAAGCACAGCACGATGGTGGGCAACGCGGCGTGGATGGCGAGAGGCAGCTGGCGGGCCGGCTCGCGCAGCTCGGCCGACACATACACCGCCTTGTCCCAGCCCGAGTAGGCCCAGAGGGCGCCGTACAAGGCTGCAGAGACGTGGCCGAGCAGTGCCCAGCTCGAGAGCTGCGTCCAGTCCGTGAGGGAGCCGTCTGGGTTGAGCGTCGGCCGGTAGGCGAACCAGTTGCTTGTCCAGTCATGCCCACCGGGCAGCGACTCGCCGGGCTTGCTGGACGTCGTCTGCACAATGGCCACGGCAAGAGCAGCGACAACGACGGCGCCGATGGCGACAAACTTGGTGCCGACGAAAAAGTTGTTGAGGCGTGCACTGACGCGCGTGCTGATGGAGTTGGCGAGGCTGACCGCCGCCAGAACAGCAATCGACAGGAGCTTGTGTACAAGAGACTGGCCGTCGACACCGTTGCCGCTCGCACCTGTGGTCGCCGTCGCCAGGCTCTCCACAAAGACAATCGACAGAATGGCCAGCGTCGCCGGCATCACGGCAACGAGCCACGTCCAAGCGGCCAGGAAACCGACAATGTCGCCATAGATGTACTGCAGATACGGCTGCACGCCGCCCTCGCCTGGGATGGCCGTGCCGAGCTCCGCCAGTGTAGCGGCGCCGGTCCAGGCCAGCACGCCGCCTACGAGCCAGACGCCCAGCGCAGCGCCGGGTGATGGGACGTTGGTGTCGACGGCGCCGGGCGACGTGAAGATGCCGCTGCCAATGACAATGCTAATAACAATGGCAAACGCCTCAAGGGCGCCTAAGTTTCGGCGAAACGCAGGCGCCGAACCAGCAGAAACAGGATCAGACGTGGACGCATTGCTGTCGTTGTTGCCGTTGGATGTTGGGCCCAGGAGAGGCTGCTGCTCGGCCGCCGCCGCGTCAGACGAGGCTCTGGTATCAGATGCCATTGTGCTGGTACAGCACGGCGTATAGAAAAACGAATAAAACTGGCAAGGCAACTTGTAGTCCCGTGGCGATGAATGTGAAATAATAGTAAAGTCGCCCAACAGGTGTGTTGCTCAGAAGAAAAGGAACGAGAAGAACAAGGGCGTGAGGGCCTCGACGTGTCACCCTGTTGTAGCCGATGTCGCGTAAGCGAGGAGAATGAATGAGCATTACGTTTGGAGGGGACATACCCAGATACCTAGTGCACTTAGTATACACGGAAGCGCTAATTGACGCCGATGGTGTCCGCCCCGCACCAGGCAGGGCGGCCCGCGAAGATAACATCACACCGCGACAGCACGCAATCTGAATGACGCACCACCGGCGGCATGTCGTTGTATTTCGTACACTTTTTTGTCTAGGGACAATTTCTGACAATGGTTTCACACTGGACAAATGTCTGCATTTGCCATCTTATTTTCGTTGGGCGCATTTGATGGAACTTTCATGGTTCAAAGTGAAGCACCGTTTTGCTCAAAGGTTCATTTTCTTATCTACGTTTGCACTTCGCAATGCTTCGCAGAAAACGCATCTCGCCTGCGCTGACACACCTCGGCATAAGACAATCTCGTGCCTCGTGGATGAGTATTGAAGACTGCATTTTCCCGCAAAGGTGTTAGGCGACTGCAGAACACCATGTCGACACAGTACGCAACACGTAAGGCATCAAAGGCGTTATGGAAAGCAACGACAGAGCGTCGGCGCGCTCAAATAATATTATACCCTAACTTTCCTTCCCGATTCCGTGATGATGCCTTATGCTATGAAACGTAATGGGCCATGCCCTCCTTTGCAAACAATGAGAAAAGCAACAAAAGATAAGCAAAACGCCGCTAATATGCTAGATGAAGTAGAGTGCCACTGGACCCATCCCGCAGAAACAAGACGAGCAGATCAAAGAAATAGAAACAAAAAAAATAGAGTATAACTATAATACAGAAGCACTCATGGGCGAGCGTTCAAAGTAAGGCTGAAGCTAATGCGAATAAGTGAGATGTGTTGGTAGTTGGGAGGGCCAAGAACGACAGAAAACAGGCATGTCGGCTGTTCAGCAAGCCATACATGGTCGCATATCTTGCCATATCGCTTAGTTATTGTATTGAGACTGCTGGTTGGCATATGCCCGAGCCTGAGCCTGAGCCTGGGCCTGAGCCTGAGCCTGGGCCTGGGCTTGTGCTTGCACCTGAGCTTGAGCTTGGAGTTGTTGCTGCTGAATCTGCTGCACCTGTTGGGCCTGCTGTTGCGCTTGTTGGGCCTGCTTGACCCGTGCATCGCGCAGCGGCATTTGCATCGCCTGCTGCTGTTGCTGCTGGTGCTGCTGGAGAGCATGAATCGGCGTCAGCGATGTACCGTGACGCATTGGACCAACGCCGTACTGCTGCATGCCCTGGAACTCGGGGACAATACCCGACCGCAGATCGTTGGGGCGGCCGAGTGGCTGGTAGTACATTTGCGTGGGCGGAATCAGAATCGGGCCCAGTGTCTGGTAATCCTGCAGGCTCGACGTGGGAGGCGGGTTTAGCAGCATATGCACGTTGCGAATGGGCCGGTACGGGCTCGCACGCTGTTGCAGATAGACCGACGGGGAGTGCGTAAGCGGCGTGTGCACACCGCTGGCAAGATGGGAGAAGCTCTCGGCCAGCGGCGAGGAGTTGGTGGCAGCGGCGTACACGGACGCAGCGTTCGGCGTCAGAACGTTGCTCGGGCTCATCCGTTTCGTAGGCGTACTGAACGTCTGTGGCGGCGGGTATGATGGCAGAGCCGAGCTACTGCCCGTGGCAGGGCCGCTTGTAGGCTGCTGCATGGAAAGCTGGGACGCGAGGCCTGTTGCGGGTGCCAAGGTCGTCGAGACCGTCTGAGTTGAGGGTGCAGCAGACGGAAGCGCGGCTCCACTGGAACCGGCGTTGGGCGGGTAAACAGTCGCCATGGCACGCACGCCGTGTGCAAGAAGCGGTGGCAGAGCAACTGGGGCCTGTGCCTGGGACAGTGCAGCCATCTGCTGCTGCTGATGCTGCTGCTGAGGAGCTTGCATGCCTGTGGTGGGCGGATAATTGGCAATTGTGCTGTTCTGGAGGTGCTGCTGGACGGGATGCTGCATCTGCTCTGCGGCTGTGTTGAGCGTGAGCTGCGGAGCGGGCAACCGCCGAGACTCTGCAGTCGACGCAACGACATTTGCAGGTACACTCTCAAACTCTGCAACAGAGGCCATGGACGAAAGGCCTGAGCTTGCCTGGGATCGTGCTTGTGAAGGAATTGGTGGCGGAAGCGTGGACCCGGGGGAGACATATCGAGACGACCGCTTCGGCGGAGGCTCCGTAATGTCCTCAAAGGACATGGACCGCTTCGAGTTTCCGTTCCGTCCGTTCATAGAAGGATCAACCTGTGGTGTAGGCAGTTGGCCAGGCCAGGCCGGGAGTTGACCCAATGCAACAGGAGGTGCGGCAAAATTCGGGCGGGTCGACGGCGAGTAAGACGGCATCTGGAGTGCACCTGCCCCCGCAGTAGGAGACAAGTTCATGTTGCTTGCTACCGGCTGCTGATGGTATGATGCAGGTGACGACAGCGGTGAAGCAGCGGGCCTTGCAACTGCAAGGCTAGGGGGCGACGTTGTCGACGTAGACGCACGCTCATAGTACATGCGGAACTTGGCCAGCTTGCCAATCCAGTCCTCCCACTCATCTTTGGAGACGAGTAGGCTGTACCGCATGTTGCTCAGAAACTCGACTTCCATGACGTGGATTTCCTTCACATGGAGGCCCGATACATCAGACCACGTCTTGTTCGTGTACGTGTTGTCGTCAAGAACTGTTATATGCATAAAATGATTAGTCATCAGTAATATGTATTTCGGCAAATCATCAAGTCAAAAACTTACACTTGTTTCCCAACATGAGGGCAACAGTCAAAAGACGAAATTCGCTGCCTGGCTTTCCCCGGACAATGACGTTGAGCGATTTAAGACGGTAGATGAAAAGCAGAGCAAGCAAAATAACGTTCTGGGTGACTTGTGTTGTGTTGATCATGCGGTTCACCCAGGACCGAAACGGCTCTGTAGGAAAGCCATTGCTGCTCAGTCGGGGTATCCACGCGTCAGCGGGCAGTGCGTCGATTTTGCTTGCTTGGATAAAGACGCTGGGCGTCTCAAACCAAAACAAACAGGTCATCTAAAGTGAGAGGACTGGTTAGCGGCGACAAGGTCTCAAATGAACATGTTGGGTCGGGTTCTGGTTGGTGTGGCACAAAAGGAGCATCGTTTTAAGTTGCCGAGCCCACGCACCTCTGCAGTAAAGTCTGATATGCTCCCGCCCTGGGGGTTGATGCACCTGGGCACCTCCGGGCTGTGCATCACCATCGCCAACGAATCCTTCTCCGTGATGGATGTTGCTTTTTGGTGTCGCGGCGGGTTTCCTGCGCTGGTGCCTGTGCCGCCATTTGTGATCGTGGGGACGGCGTTCGAGGAGGCCGTCGGCTGGCTAAGAACTCCGTTGTCGGACAGCATGTGATTCTCTATTGTAGCTTGCCGAGAGCCCAACGGAACCGCGTCTGGTGGTGTCAGGTAAGTGGAGGAAAAACGGGCAACCGCTGGCTGCTGCTGATGGTATGTTTGCTGTGATTGGACCTGTTGGGCCTGGAGCGCTTCGACCTCGTGGTTCACGGAGCGGGCGACGCTGTTGTAGTCGGTCACTGTGGGTGGTGATGGGCCGAGAGTCAGAGCGGAGTGCGCTTCGCTGAGGATTGCTCGTCTGCGGTCGGCGTCGGCAGCGTGTGATGAGGAGCTGACATGGTGCCGACCGTCGTAGTCGGCCAGACCAGCTGAATGGAGGTGCAGGTTGTGGTGCGTGAGGCTGCCCATAGCGCCGTAGTGGTCGTCGCCCGGTGGTGTGTGAAGACCGCTCGGAGCGTAGGACGACGCCTGCTGTTTGGATGCCGTAGACGTCGTTCTGGGATAGAAAGCGGGAGGCTGGAGTGGATGGAGGAGTCTTGAAGGTTCGCGAGGTAGAGGAAGACGTCGCGCCACTGCCGAGTTCGTGGATAGTGATGATGTATGCAATGGAGAAGTCGGCGGTGGTGGTAGACTGAATGATGCGGCGGTCGAATACATTTGCGGCCGATAACGGGGGATGGAGGAAGGAGACTGAGGCAGCGACAGCTGTCTCGTCGAGGCCAGCGGTGGTAGGAGGTGTACCAGGTGTGAATGGTGATGCGTGGCCAGCGATATGTATCCCTTAGAGGCGATACTTCGGTCGTTCCCGCAATTCGATGAGATGTACGGAGATAGTCAGTCAATGCTGTTGGAGGCAAGATGGACCAAACGTGACCAAACGTGGACCATTAAGCCTGGTGCAGGATCGTTGTCGTTTGGCGAATATCAGTGACCAACGGCCAAACGACTCTTATTCAGAACGTGCCGGCCTTGGTTAGTTTGGAGCACGATGTATTGCCATTCACGTTGCCGTCAAAAATGACAAAGTTCAATAGTGCAAACAAAAGGCACGTCGGGAGAACTCGAGATATCGAGGCGATATTTCGTCGTTGGCGGGGACCTAAGTATATTCAGTGCCCATTGTTGTTGCGCTCGTGCCCAGGTCGCCAATGGTCGCTCCAAGTCTTCCAACGAAGCGTTGGGCGGGAAAGTAAAGATCGTAATAGAAGCGATATAGTCGTCGTTGCAATGGGAACTGGGACCAAGATATGCCGTCCGCGCGGGTGGGAGCAATGGCAAAAGGCGAAAGAGCCTGCGGCCGTGTATGTTGTTGTCCAAAAGGTAACAAGGCCTGGGGATATACGCGACGGGTATGGTGGATGAACCAGAGGGCTGCAACAGCGAAGCTGCAGAGGTAAAACCGACGCGGTGGTAAAACAAAGATGAGGTCAAGAAGGACGAGAGAGCGAGTTAAAAGAGGTCGGTGCAAAGCTGCCAGTCCAAATCAGGAAGGAACGAATCGGTAGTATGTCGAGATGAAAAAGGAAAGAACAAGAGACTATGTACGATGCATGAGGCAAGAGCTATTAAAGGAAAATGTGAAAAACAAAAAGGTAAAGGAAAGCAGACAATAATATTGAAGGAGTGATGCTCGCCTCCGACAATCGTCGTACTGCCCCCGTCGCATGGAAGTCTCTCTCCCTCGATTCTGTAATTAGTTTGCGTAGTGGTGGAGGTGGTGGATGATGTGTGGAGGTTTGTGGAGGTCAACAACGACAAAGACAGAGATGGGCAAGCGTGTAAGTAAGGCAGCCAATATACGAGAGGGGCGTGGAAAAGGCAAAAAGACGGGAAAAGGTACGAAAAAGCGTCAAGATACATTGCGCTTTGTGGCAGAATCCGCCATGTGGAAGGTACTTCGTAGCCGGTCGTAGTGCGTGAATGGTACACCTGTAGTGCTGCTGTAGCCTGTGTAGCGCCACTTGGTGTGCGGCGAGGAGGCCATTGGTGCGGTTGGTAGCGGCTGGCGAAAGACAGGGCGCCGGCGACTGCGACGCACGTCGTATGTCCCGTCCACAAGCGGAGGGGAAGGAAGGCAGGAGAGAGGTGGGGAGCTTTCCCGAAGTCGTTTCGAGGACTGGCAGGCGAATCAGAAGGAAGGTGCGGCCTGGTGTCCAAGCAGGGGAGACACGCAAGAAGCAAATGAGAGACAGGGACCGAACACAGAACGACGAGAAAACCTGACAAGGATTTTGATGGATTGCTTTTCGCCCAGGCGAAAAGATTAGCAAACAGGAAATTGCCAGTTACGAAACACAAATTGAACACGCAGGCATTGCTCTGTGAGAAAGGAAAAAGCGAGCGTCTACACAGTTTCCTGGGCATGGCAACACAAGGCAGGAATGCAAATGGAAATGGATCACCTACGGATGAGTGGGAAGGAACCTTCGACGAGACCATGGCAAAGGAGTTCATTTTGTGGGTGTGTCCCGGTGATGCGTGTCGCAGAGAAAGAGCAACCCCGGCCCAGGCAGGCCATGCACCTAAGATACCATTGTGAATGTGACTTTTTTGGGAAAGACGGAAAGGGCATGGTAAGGTCCATCCATGCCGAGCAGCGAATGCATTTGAAATGCACAACAATCTGTACGAAGGTGTTGCACAACAACATTTAGCCCGGTTGCCCCTGCCACCTTTCCTGACCTTGGACGAAAGAGAGAGGGGACATAAAGCAAGACGAGGGAATGAGGCGGCACGAGCTGCCACTCGCACTTACAAGAAAACGATGACCAAACTCCGTCGTTCTCTGTCCTTTCAAACGAAAGGTCCTGAAGACACGCAGCGCCACCAAGCAGGAATCGTATTCCGAAGGAGAACCCACCACCCAGCTAAGACCGGCCGGTCGGTCGCTCTGAGATAAAACTGGGACCTGGCTATGGTATGCTGGGCCATGCCATGCCAGTTCTGGGGCTCTGGGCCAAGCTGGCAACAAAAAGCAGGGCCCTCACTGCCAATTACGACGCAGCTGGAAGCTGAGGCGGGGCGGAGTGACGATGGGCGGCGCAGGCTCTCCCTTGTGGGTGTCCCTTGTCACATCCATCTAAAATAAGCAAAACGCAAAGACTTCCTTCACGTCGCAGCAGTGTAGGAATAGTAATACGCCAGTTGCAAGCCACCGCATTACGAGTACGAGACGAGGTCGCTCGTCTTCCTAAGCAAAATGGTCCCATCGCCAAACCGTTCTTCGCCTCTCTTTTTCGACGTTTGTTTTCTGGTGGCGCAGGTAACAGAACAGTGCTACTTTACCGTCTGGCTGTTGCGTTTCTGCTTTCTGTCCACGTACCATGAAGCGGGAAGGAGATGGACCGTCCCCGTCGGTTGCCTGAAAACCAATGTCGAACACAATTTGTATCCTTTGTACTCCCCGTCGGTTTTAATGGGAGGGGAGGGGAGGTGCGCAAGGATGCAACCAAGCGACACACAGAACAGGGAAGACAGGGAAGGGACATAAAAACGCTACCTCTTTCTGGGACACACAAAGGTCGGCGAGGAGAAATCACGGCGTTTGAGTATGTGCGTACCATGGCTGAACGGCGCCGATGGGGTCCCTGGCTGTGTCTTGCCAGAATTGTCAAAAAACGACGTAAAGGGGAGGAAGAACAGTGCAAGCAAGCAAGCGGGCAAGCGGGCAGGCGGGCAAGCGGACAAAACCTGAAAGTAAGGAAAGAAAGGGAGAGATGGAAGTGAGAAAGAGGCTGAGAATGTAGGAAAGATGGGCAAGAGAATACAACAGGGAAAGAAACAGGAGCGAGCGAATAATGGCATCGAAATCAGGCCTAATGAAAAGTGGATCGGCGTTGGCTTCTGCGCCTAAACTGCACTCATTGCACGAGCGTCAGATGATATTCCCACTGTACGATATAAAATGTGGCCCGTAAAATATTAAAGTGCCCATCTGACTTCGGGCCACGCTGGTGCGTTACTGCCACAGCATCCGCGCCCACCATACAGTCATTGTTGGTGGATGAGGAGGGCGTTTGGAGGCCCTTTGTATCCGTGCTTTTTGCCCGCCTTTTGTCTTACTGTAATGACATTTTGGTGCCTCTTGGCTCTTTCTCCTTTTGACTATGGGTGTTGATCCCGCGCTGCTTTCATCCAAGCGGAACCCACTTTTTGATATGATTTGTCTTTTGGCTTCCAAAGTCCCTCTGGGCGAGGGACAAAGCAAGGGGCCAATAAGTACGATGTAAGTTGTACCTCGTCCGGCACAAGTGTTTGAGCTGTGACCCAAAGGACAAGGAATGCCATACTTGGGGGTTGAGGCCAGAATGAAGGCGACGCCCTTAATAATGAAAGACAAGCCAAAAGGTAGAGACATACGATGTAGGCAAAGTGGCAGCAAAAGGTGAATTTTGAACACGGCAAGGGCGAGTGGAGGTGAAAAGACCGGGAAAGAACGACACCGGTCTCCACAAAAATGGAAAGAGCAGACAGGGCTGCCCGTCTTAGCCCCAGACCAGACACTGGAGACTGGAACTCACAAAACATGCACGGGTCTTACCCTGTCCGCGAAAGAAAGTGGCCTGTCGATGATGGTCTCCAACAATACTGTGATGGAACCTTCCGGTGGTTTTTTTGTCGGGCATTGTCAAACTATTCGTTTCCTCGTCTCGCAACCGCTTTCCCCATTTTGGCTCGCTTGGCTGAAGAGGAAGGGGCGAGACAGACGGGCAGGGAGAGAAGGAACAACAGAAAGCCGCACGTATTTGTGCTGCATCAAGCCGGAGTACCGGATACAATACCTCACCCCAGTGAAGCCCGCATTGACCCGCGTACCCTGCACTCAAAATATCTGTCTGATGGTCATCGAAACTGAAGCACTTTCTATTTCATCAGCCTGGCGTTCTTTTCTGGGACCAGTGAAAGGAGCGAGTGGCACGGCACCCACCCACACCAATCAGTTTTCCCTCCAGCAGCCCCTTCCCCCTGCTTTCGCGCCTGCCTTGTCCGGTGCGGACACCCGTTGGTTGGGCCCCCATAATATGAAGTCTTGGTACGTCGTATTCTTCAGGCCACTTTCCACCTCTCTCTCGCTGTGCACATTGTGGTTCTTTAAGCTGTAGAGGACAGGATTTGAGACCCAGGCCTTCTGAGTACAAAGCACCTTACTGAAGTGTTACTGTGCTCCAAGGCCTGCTTGGTATTACTCCACCATAGTGGGATTACGTCCGCCATTTACGTCGTACACAAAATAAAGAAGAAGGGAAAGTGAAAGTCAAGGCGATCGAAAAACAGACAATCTGCCGAATGTGATGAGCAAACTGTTTTTTATTGTGTTAAAACAACTAATACAGCACCGGAACAACAGGATGGACAAGATAGGCATAGGAATGGGAATATCCCAACATCGAGCTTTTTTAACGTCGACGAGGACGCCAATCGCCGTTCGTATCTTAATGAGTGAGGCGACCATGTTACTCTCTCGACGCCCGAATCGCACTAGAGGGAGCGCTGGGAGAGGCCTGCAGGCTTTCACACATGATGCCGTCGCTCTCTGGTCGCCCGTTGCCCCCCCTTTTCCCCTAAGAAGCACCCCTCGCTCCGCTTGTCCTGTTAGGGAACTGGAGGCAGTCCTATCCCAGTTTAGGCTAGTGGCGTCATCATCTCAAAGACGGCGA